TGATCTGCCTCGCCCGGGAAGAGCGCAATGATGGTGCCAACTTGGGCCAGTGAAGCAACGTCCTCCACAACTAGACTGAAGAACAAAAGGATAGCAATTTGTCTGTTCCTCTTCCCCCAATTCCCCAATAAAAATCTTTAAAAACAAAACAAAACAAAACAAAAAAACCCATACACACACAAAAATAGCAAACGTTGGCAAGAATGCAAAGAAATTGGAATCCTTGTGTGCTATTGGTAGGAATGTACAAGCATGCAGCTACTATGGAAAACTGTATAGCGGTTCCTCAAAAAATTAAAAATAGAATTACTTTATGATCCAGCAATACCACTTCTGAATATATATTCAGAATAATTGAAAACAAAGTTTCAGAGATACTTTTGTATACTCTTGTTTATGGCAGCATTATTCACAATAGCCTAAAGATGGGGAAAAAACAAATGTCCATTGATGAATAAACAAAATGCACATGCATACGATGGAATAATAGTCAGTCTTAAAAAGGAAGCAATCTGACCCGTGCTACGATATGGATAAGCCTTGAGGACATTATGCTAAATGAAATAAGCCAGCCACAAAAGGACAAATACTGTATGATTCCACTTATATGAAGTATCAGGAGTAGTAAAACTCATAGAAAACAAAGTAGAATGGTGGCTCCCAGGGGTTGGGGGATGGGCAAGTTGTTTATAGGTGTAGAGTTTTAGTTTTACAAAATGAAAAAGTTCTCAAAATTCATTGCACAACAATGTGAGTATACTTAACATTAGTGAACTGCACACTTAAAAATCGTTAAAATAATAAATTTTATAATGTATGTATTTTATCAACGTTTAAAAAAATCTAAAATACACCTGGTCCCAAAAGCTAGTGGCCAAATTGAAATAGCAAAACAATTCCAATGCCACCATTAAATTATGCTTCCATATCTGCTTGCTTTCTATATTGGACCAGTTCACCTGGTTTTTTGTTTGTTTTGTTGTTGCTGTTTTTATTGAAGTATAATTGACATAGCACATTATATCAGTTTCAGGTGTACAACAGAATGATTCGATATTTTTGTGTATATTGCAAAATGTCACCACAATATGACTAGCTAATATCTGTCACCATATATAGTTACAATTTTCTTGTCATGAGAACTTTTAAGATTTACTCTCTTAGCAACTTTGAAATATGCAATGAAGTATTATTAACTATAGTCACCATGTCGAACACCACATCCCCATGAATTATTTTTTTTATAACTCTAAGTTTGTATCTTTTAACACCTTTCACCCATTTTGCCCACCCCCAAACTCCCGTCTCTGCAGCCAACAATCTATTCTTGTATCTATAAGCTTGGCTTTGCATTTATTTGATTGTTTTATATTCCACATATAATTGAGATCATA